TTATAGTTGCATCAAAAGCAGATTTTTTGTTTTCTCGTTAATGATGCAAAATCTCCAAGTACTCACTTGTCATTTTTGGGACTGAGTCATCCTTGTGAGCATGTTTTAGGTTTGGTGCATGTCTTTGCTAGAACAATTTGTTGGAGGTCCAACTTCATTTTAAAATGCTGATGCTCTCTGGAGAAGGCCAAAACACTGGTGCAGGTAAAGAATAAATCATCATACCCCAATTTTATTGTCCTTTGGTTTCAAAGGACAGCTTTGCTACTCAAATATTAAACTTTGCTAGTGTGGCAATACTGGCAAAGCATGTGTAGACCAGCCCTTAATGGCTAATCTGGACCAAAATCATTAATTTGAGAAGACAGCTCCTTTCCAAAAGACAAGTGTCTCCCTCCTGTCTGGTTCCTGACACCCTGCAGTGTAAGTAGGTCATGATGTGAGAGCAGGTAAAAGTTTTGTGTTGCAAAGAATCAAACCCAAAGCCTCTGTCTCTTGTTTCCCAGATTTTTTTGATGGCTGTTCACTGTAAATATCAACAAGCTGCTTGTGGTGAATGTGGTCTGGAGCAATCTGGTAGGCACAGTCTTTGCAGACAGGTGTTTTCTTTATTTGTTTAGGTTGCAATATACCAGCACTCCAAGGATTAAAGCTTTCCAAGAGTTGTGCTCTTGTTCTCTGTATAACTTATGTGACCATTGCAAAAACACATCAGTTGTCTTTTCTTAGTAGTTTACAGATAAGGCAGAGATTTCAAAGATGAAAATATTCCCACAAAATTATGTCTGACTCAGGAAAGCAAGTGGTGTTGGTAATGGCCAAGTTCTTAATTTGAATTTTCATTTTGTTTGTTGTTTTGTCTAGTTGAGTATTTAAAAGAGATTATTCCCCTCCTATAAAGTTTCAACTGTAAAATGTAAGAAAACCAAGTTTTCAGTCACATGGATTTTTTTTTTTTCAATCTGCTTCTTATAAATCTTAACTGTCCCACAACAGTGATTTCACAGGTATTGGCTGTAAGGTCAGAAGTATTGGGTGTGCTTTGATTTGTTTTGCTCTTTTAAAATAACAGTAAGTTGGAAGTTCCATCCTAATTTTAACAAGAAATGTGGACAGTCTTAATTTACCTGTTGTTTTGCTTTTTGCTTGTGGTTGGTTTTGGTTTTCTTTCATTATTTGAATCTGTTTTATGTCATTAGTGGTAAATTGTTGTTCCTAGCAGTATCAATATCAGTTCTTGGGCTTGTGTTTTCATTTTAAGGATTCACCTTGCTTGTACTGCTTCCCTATACAGAAGAGGTACTGGAATTTTTATCCTCATTCTGCTTCATGTAGAGCGTTTCAGATGACTCATTAGGATTGTATTCCTTAAGTGATGTGGAACAGCAGATTCTAAATTTGTCACACAGACAACATCAAAACACAACATCAACCCATTTGTTCTTATGCCACTGGCTCAAGGTGTTGTGTGTGCCAGCAGTTTTCCTGATGAGGCACAAGATGCTGGGATGGATGTTGAGAGCAGTTTAATATTACTGGAAGCAATTGCAACTTACAATCATGATCCTAATTAAAAAATGGAAATTATTATTTTAAAATGTGTATGGAGTCAAGTTGCTCAAAATTAAATTACTTGAGAAAACAGGATGAAGAAGTTGCCTTGTTTCATTTCCTCCAGCTCTGTCTTGCCTGTGCTCTGCTCCCAACTCATGGGGGTTTTGCTTGGCTGGGAGGGTTATTTCCTTCTAGATCTCGATGTTCTGGTCTTCCATCTGAATTAAGGAAGACTGAAGCAGCCTTTTCAGCTGTGGTTTGGCAGCTTGGAGTGCTTTTAAAGTAATTAGAAATGTTGTCCGCAGTAGGAAGCTGTCACATGCCTGTGTTAGAAGCAGCTGTGCTGCAGCTGGCCCCTCTCTGCACCTTGGGCTGCTGGTTGCCACTTCCAGCTCTCAGCCACACAAATCACAGGCTGCAGAAATCACCCTGAGGAGGAGCGTGGCAGAGAGAAGGCATCCTCCTTCTGGGATGCTGACAGATGAAAGCCTCTGCTTAAGCATAGCTGGTAACTTACTTTCTAAAGTGAAATTTGAGAGAGCTGTCCATTGTCTTTCTGAACTGGGAACAAATATGTTTGGGAAATTTCTCGTTCTGTCTCTGGTGTTATGACAGGGATGCCCAGGCCTCAGTTTGCGGGTGAGGTGTGGGTGCAGGTCACAGCTGGTGCTGGGTGATGCAAGAGGAGATGTGGCTCCTTGCCCTCTGCTTGCACACCTCCTACTTTTCTCTCCTCCTTCAGCTTTCTTTCCATTTGGACTCATGATTTTTTTTTTCCTTAAACTTTTCCAGCCCCAAACCTGATTATAATATGTCCTTGCATCATATTTTTCCTTCCCTCTTCCAACAGCCAGTAGCTATCCTGCAGTTTTAATGTAAGTGACAAGGAATACCTCCAGCTGCCTTTGGGAATTGCTCTCTTGGCATAGTTCAGAAGTAGTTGCACTGAAATAAATAACCTTATATTTTATTAACCAACAAATTAAAATCATGTGACAGAGCATCACTATAGCTTCCCATGACAGATGATACAAATAAAACTTAATCTGAACTAGGAAGCATTTGCATAAGGTGAATGTTTGCCTGGATACAAGTGTCTGTAACTTTGAAGTAATTTGATTTGTTCTCAAGGTTATTTCTCTGCTTTGGCTTTGTGTTTTTGCCTTGCATTAGGGCCTAGGTCATTTCTTTTCAGCTCACAAGCTGTTGATGCCTGAGAAAGTACACAGCATTTAGAGCATCTACCCTGATAAGACCCAAAAACTCTGAACAACACTTTCTTGTTACCAGGAGGCGTCAGTGTAAAGTCCATGCAATAAGGTGATTTGGCTTGGGTGTGTACAGGTGATGCTAAGATGAAAGTTAGTGATAAATAGCATGACTCCTTTCCCTAATCTCCCCATTAGTGCTGGCATCAACATGCTTATTATATGCCTTGGACCTGTTTTAAGCCCCTCTATGTGTTGGACACCCCAGGTTCTGTGTAGGTACTGCTGTGTGTTTGGTCATAACAGCTACTTAGAGGTACCTGACCCATGTGAGGTCAGGGATCACCCAGCCGTTTTTTTCTGCTGAAGGAAGCCAGACACTGTGAACCTTGATACATTTTATGTTAAATTAAAAGAAAATACAGTTTCATCCTAGGAATGCAGAAGTGCCTTTTGTTGCAAAGCAAGAATCACAGAACTCAAGTGTAAGTGGAGGTAGTTTGGATAGATTTGAAAATGAGTGTAAAGAAGCCTTTGCTCTGTTAGAAGTGCAAAGGCAGGTTGTCCTATGTGTATATGCTCTGTAGCTCGTTTGGAGCTTGTAGACATGGAAAATGCACACTGCACATGGGCAGGGATGGCTCGGGTTGAGGTACACATTGTATGTTCTGCTGGAAATGTGCATTTGGGGCAGGAGTTTTCAGCTGACAGGCTGTAAATCAGTGCCTGCTCTTGCAGCATGTGCTTTAATTGGAGTCACATAACTTTCCTAATCTCCTTCCAGGTGTTAGGAAATAAACAATTTCCTAACCCACACCACGTTGTTGTTGTTGTTGTTATTTGTATTGTAACTTGTGCCAGGTGCTGTACAGCCAGGGTGAAGCAGCTCCAGCCCTGGTGCATGGGCACTGCTGTCTCAGGGTGTTCTGCAGAGCAGAAAAGGAATGTGAAGACAGGACCCGAGTATGATGAACTAGAGGGCTAACATTACTGCCCTTATTCACACTTAAAAATAGCTCCTTACAGACTAAGGTTTTGTTTGATGTGAGTTACAGCTTAATTTGTGAGAAACTTAATTTATTCCGATATGAGTAAGTGAGGCAGAATCTGCCCTTAGCTAAGACCTATTTATGTATTTGCTGAGCATGAGTGTGGATAGCAGGAGGCTGGACACTTTCAGCTTAGCAAAGCCACAGCTTTTCACATTAAACAACGGATTCTATCTAAGGATATATTCAAATGAATGTTAGAAAGTTTGAAAAGCTTTTATTTTAGTGTGCTGTGGTAGATGTAGGTCACTATATATACACAGAAGTAGGGAAACAAACTTTCTTGTCTTTATATAATGTATTCTTCATTGACCAAAATATGGAAAAATATGTTAAAAACGGATCTTTTATTAGCTCTTGTGGCTGTTTGCACCAAATTGGTGGATGCTGCTCCCTTTTGAGCACTTAAAGTTGTCTCTGCTGGAAGAAGTGTTTGCACTGACAGCTGGTGGAAAGCAAAGTGTCTGCTGTGCTATTATTACTTCCTCACCTTTTCCCCTAGCCTCCACCATGCTATTCACAGGCACATCACAGAGCTCCTGGTATGTTTAAAGAACTGGCTTGTACGTGAAGTGTCCACTGATGTAGATGAATATTTAAAGCTCTGCTGAGCAGCACATGGGCTGTTCCCTGCAACTGTGAGTGCATGGCTTGGTTACAGCCAGGCACAGCATTAGGCTGATAACATCATAAACTACACAAAATGGTAAATGCAATCCAAATGTTTGTGCTGCCAGTAAATATTCTGATCACAGCTGCTAACTCTAATTATTTCTTCCTTGGTAAAAAAAAGTTTTGGTTTTGTTTTGCTTTGGATTTTTTTCCAGCTTTATCAAAGCAAATTCTTGTGTTTCATCTGTCAGCAGAGCTGCTGTTCTGTTGGAAGGTCTGAGTGAAGTTTTTGAATGCTTGTGATGAATGAGCTGGGATAAAACATACTTGGGCTCTTTGATGGCCTGGGTAGTTTGCAAGGCTGACAGATTTGTTCAGTGTGGAAATGTGATGAGCAGTATCAGAGGCCATACCTACGTGCTAATTCAAGGGACAGTTTTTCCATCACATTGAAAGGTTTTAGCATCTCTGTTGCGGCTCAGGAGATCCATATTCTGAGATCTCAGATTCTTCAGAAACTGACAGCAACCAATGCCCAGATTTTGAACTTTGCTCTTTTCCTTTTCTCTTCTCTTAGAACAAAATTGAATTACAATCCTCCAAAGGATGATGGCTCAACGTACAAGATTGAGCTCGAAGGGATATCTGTTGATATCATGAAAGAGATACTAGACTACATCTTCAGTGGGCAGGTATGGTATGATATTAAAACCCACTAAACCTCACTTGGACTATTTGGCAAAATAACTTGAGTTTTAACACTGCTATCCTGAAAGATGTTTAAAACTTTGTGATAAAGCTTCTGCAGAGTGGGACTGTGCATGTGAAGTAGAGGCAGTAGGCTCTGCAGAAGTTGTCTCCTCTTCTTGTGTAGTAGGAGAGGACTTTGAAATTTAGAGTCAAGGTCAAATCCTTGTATTATAATTGGTGGCTACCTTCAGTAACCTGCTTTAAACCAGGCAGTGTTTGTCAGCTGTGACAGAGGACTGCTTTGGTAGCCACAGAGACTGAGAATTACAGTACACCAGGCACCTTCCCTCCCTTGTGCCCACCTCTCTGGCCTCTTGTCAGCTGTGACAGAGGACTGCTTTGGTAGCCACAGAGACTGAGAATTACAGTACACCAGGCACCTTCCCTCCCTTGTGCCCACCTCTCTGGCCTCTTGTCAGATCTGCCTGCCAGGAGCCTTAGCAGGAATTAAAGTTGGTGTGTCCAGTTTATTTGGAACCAGAATAAGATTGGTGAACAAGTTTAGCTTTCAGCAGAAAAAGAAAAGGAAGATTTGGCTTGAAATTCATTCCTGCATGTGTGTTTTAAAAAAAAAAAATTATTTATTACAGCAAAACTCATTTTAGGTTCCCAGATGAGATGAGCAATTTTATGGTTGGTTACTTCAGGAACTTATCAAAATTTCTGCTCCACACCTTCTGTCAAGCAAATGCCTTTCCAACCCTGCGTTAATTAATTAATGGTTAGCAGTCATATCAGTTTCTCCTGATTCTTACACTGGCATTAATATTCCATTTTTCAGCCACTGAGAATGAGTGTAATGAATGTGGGCATGTCATGGAACAAATGAGTGATAGTAGCTATAACTTCTAAATTAATTCTTGCAGATCAGGCTAAATGAAGAAACTATCCAAGATGTGGTACAGGCAGCTGATCTCCTGCTGCTTACAGACTTAAAAACTCTCTGCTGTGAGTTTTTAGAAGGTTGCATAGCTGCTGAGAACTGTATTGGTATTCGGGACTTTGCACTGCACTATTGTTTGCATCATGTTCACTACCTTGCCTCAGAGTATCTGGAAACTCACTTTCGAGATGTCAGCAGCACAGAGGAATTCTTGGAACTGACTCCTCAAAAACTGAAAGAAGTGCTGTCCATGGAAAAGCTCAATGTTGGAAATGAAAGATACGTCTTTGAAGCGGTGATTAGGTGGATTTCTCATGATTCAGAATCCAGAAAGGTCAGGACATCCAAATGTTTGTATTTTGAATATGTCACAAATTGGAGTGTTCATTCTAATCAGTGGGAACTTGAAATAGATCTGTTTCTTTCAGGACTAATCTTATAGAATTTATTGAATTTTGCCTGAAATGCAGACCACAGCATTGCAGTAAAAGGGTGAAAGCTGTGTGGATGGTATATTATCTGCTGCCTTCATTATTTAATAGGCATTAAGAAAAAAAAGCACCATTTTGACATTTGATGATATAATCTTGTTTAGATGATGGGAAAGCAAGTAGCATGTTTATAGAGAAACTTTGAGAACTTGATGCATTTTCTTACTAACACTCTCTTGTATAGTTTATTCCTTGCCAGTATCAAAAACTCTCAAGTATTTGCTCAGCACAGAAGCATTGCATGTCCGGGTGGCTCCGTGCTGGGGGTGATTTTGTGTCCCCGCTGCCTCCCCAGGTCCACATGAAGGATGTGATGTCGGCAGTGTGGGTGTCGGGGCTGGACGCGGCGTACCTGCGCGAGCAGATGATGAGCGAGCCGCTGGTGCGCGAGATCGTCAAGGAGTGCAACAACATCCCCCTGACACCCCCGCAGCAGGGAGAGGCCATGCTGGCCTCCTTCAAGCCCCGCGGCTACTCCGAGTGCATCGTCACTGTTGGGGGGGAAGAGAGAGTGTAAGTGTGCAGTGGAATGACAGCTGGTCCCGGTGCCAGCACTCGTGGCACTCTGAAAACACGGAGTGCAGAGAATGTGCGCACCTACTGCTTGTTACTCCATCATTTGAGTTTGTTTTAGGTTGATCAGACACACCAAAAATACCTTTGGGGGTGATTCAGCAATAAATAGTTCTTTTGTTTCTGATATTCAACATGTAGTAAACTTTGAGTAGGGTTGTTTGTTCAGTAAGTGTTGGCTCAATTTTTTTTAAACTGAATAGACTTAAACACAGAATAATTTCTGAAGATCTGAAAAGCATCTCTAACCATACTAAGGAGTAATGAACATGTGCTTAATTTAAACTGTTTTGTTTATAACAGATGTGGTTCCAAAAAAAAGGTCATTATTGGTGCATCTGAGATAAGGTGAAAATTCCTGTTCCACACAATAATCTCTTTCTTTTTTTGAGTACCCCCTGCAGCAGAAGGGAGGGTTCAGTCCTATTTAAATAAATTAAGCATTTAGATGTTAGCTTTTTATAGAAGCGTAGTAAACCACTCAGATAACATTTTGCTTGTCAGTTTGTGATTCACTTTACTCAGACATTACTAATATTCTCTATCAGTTCTTCTTAGCTCGTTCAAAGTGCATGAAAAAGGTTATAGGCAGATACAGTAGGAATGAAGTGAATCAGCTTTTTGTGTCCCCAAGTCTGTACAAACTCAATTTACATGTTTGGTTTGGGGGTCTTCTCCTTACCAGGGAAATGCCACCTGATGAATAGACACGAAAACAAGAGCAAGCCAGCTTGGGACACGAGGTGTTAACAGTGAACTTGTAAAACTCTGTCTTTGTCTTTCTGTTTCTGTCTGTTCCCTCCCCACCCTGTGTTCAGATCACGGAAACCAACCTCAGTGATGCGCTGTATGTGTCCTCTTTACGATCCCAATAGACAGCTCTGGATTGAACTTGCTCCCATGAGTATTCCAAGGATCAATCATGGAGTATTGTCAGCAGGTAAAGGGGAACTTCATCTTTGTAAAGTCAATGTTATGAAAACTTACCAGTGCCTCAAAATCTGAGATACAGCTTATAATAATAATATATTTTCTTCAAGACTGATTGCACTGGGGCTATTTCATGCTTCCCCTTTGTCTGCCCAAAACTGTACTTGATTCTGTGAAAATCCCTGTCATCTGAGTGTCTTAAAATCACTATTCCTGCAACATTTTGTGGGAATCTGCTACATCTGTCTCTCCAGGAGTATTTAATGTTCTAAGTAAATTCTAAGTTGCTGCATCACTGAATATGTTGAAGGGTATCTGCAGGGGCAGACTTGAGTCAGATGTAAGTATGTGCTTTACCTTTTCCAGTCCAGAGTCTGACCTGTGACTGGTCTGGATCTTGTGGTGAATTCCAGAATACAGCTCACCAGTCATGTTGTTTTGCTCAGTGTGCAGGTGTGAGTCCTCTTCTTGAGAGTCCTGTTCTTAAGATCATATTACATTTTGTTTTACAGAAGGATTTTTATTTGTGCTTGGTGGTCAGGATGAAAACAAGGGAACGCTAAGCTCTGGAGAGAAATATGATCCAGACACCAATTCATGGAGTTCCTTACCACCAATGCATGAGGCAAGATCTCTATCTAACTGTTGGGATTTAAGTTTTTACTTTGGCAAAATGTTCCTTTTCTTCTGCAAAATTTTATTCTGAATCTCCAGTCGCTTGCATCTTACACATTCAAAATCATGCTACAGACTGACTTCTGTTTATATCCTGTTGTTCTTGTGGTCTGATGCTGACTGCTGGATCTGGAAAAACTAAACAATTGGTGAAGAGCTAACTGTAAGATGAACTACAAAATTTCAGGAATTTCATAATGAATCAGTCCTGTAGTATACTTAATGTTCTGCGTATACTGGCCTTCTAAAACAAGAGACCTCTCAGATGGACAAAGGGATCGGACTGTGCAGAAAAGATGGACAGAGGACTGGCCAACATACAGAACTTGGCTTGCACAGACATATTTAGGTTTGGTTTGAGTTAATGCTTCCTTTTTCATAATTACATTCCATCAAAAAGTAACAGTTTGTTATTTGTAAACATACATCCTTAATACACCTGTGTTTTTATCTTTGTAAATCAGCACAGGGTGTTTATTAAGAACTTGTTTGCCACAGGATTTTCCTCTTTGCAAAATCTACAAAGGCATGTAGATTTGACTACAATTTTAGTTATGATGCATTAAATGCTATGCTTGTGATATGTTTGCTGTGAGACTGAGGGGTAGCTGGGCTCATACATAGAAAATAGAAGAGCTGCCTTTGCACAGAGAATGGGTCCAGGCTTTGCTGCTAGAGAGACCTGAAAGCAACAGCTTCATTGTGGAGACCACCACTATGGGAACTGAAATATGGCCAAGCTCTCTTCTTAGATTTCTCTGTGGTCTCTTTGGCTTCTGCTATTCTGCTTTTTTTTCCCCTTTTGATACCCTTTGTTTTGTTTAGTTGATTAAATTAATAATCTTATGCTTATGGAGTTTAGGACTTCACCATTAGAAAAAAAAAAAAGACAAAACAAAAGCCAGGCATAATACCAATAGCTCTTTGCAGACAGATACTCTGAAAAATAAGATTGTGTTCATTTATTCACAATGGCAGTTATGTTTTTCAATGTTGACTTTATTGATGTTCCTTAGGCACGACATAATTTTGGTGTGGTAGAGATTGATGGGATTCTGTATATTCTGGGAGGTGAGGATGGTGAAAGGGAGCTGATCTCTATGGAGAGCTATGATATTTATAGCCGGACCTGGACCAAGCAGCCAGACTTGACCATGGTTAGAAAGGTAAAAACTACATCTTATATTATTGTGTTGCTTTTTGTTAAATAGTCAATGCCAATATATGTGTGTGTATATATATCTATATGTATCAAAATACGTATTTTAAGCTTTTGCTTCAAGTAGAAGCTGTAGCAAATAGTCTCAAAATGAAATGAGAGTGAGCAGCTTCTTCTCTTTTTATACACCAAATAAAACTGTGGCTGAGCATTTTTATGCCTTGCATTTTTTGACATGGGGTATAGGCAACCCAAATTCCTCTGTGTGTGTATAGACAGCCTTGAGCTCTCAATACTGTGCATTTGTGTGTCATTTCATATATATTTTTCTTTTTTTTTTTTCTCCAAGATTGGCTGCTATGCAGCTATGAAGAAGAAAATCTATGCAATGGGTGGAGGCTCCTATGGAAAACTCTTTGAATCTGTGGAGTGTTACGACCCCAGGACTCAGCAGTGGACAGCAATCTGTCCTCTCAAAGAGAGGAGGTGAGGGAAAATGGAAGTGGGGGACTAGATTGCTTTTCCAACCCTCTGATGGGAGGAAAGTGTCCTTTTTGTGATGAATCTGAGAAGATGGCCTATGAATCTCACCAGGTCTTTCTGAGTCGTGGTGGCCTGTAGTTAACATGTGTCTGAGTAAAGACAAGCATCCAAGCAATAAATACAAATGTTGTAGAAACATAGCCCTGATGTTGCAAGCACTAGTTCTCTGATGCAAAATGAAAACTAGAAATTATAGTTCAATTGTAACTTCAGAATATTTTTAGAGAGAAATATTTTTACTGTGTTGTTTTTTTTTTTGTGATCTGAATTAGGTGCTTACAATTCATATCCATGACTCATCTTGTTGGATATTTAAGGCATCTGTGTGTATAAATAAATAAAAGAGTAAAAGATGAAGAAAGTTCAGAGGGGTATGCAAAAGGGTTTTGATACATGGCATTAATGTTTTTTCCTTGTTTGGATTTTCAGATTTGGGGCAGTGGCCTGTGGAGTTGCCTCTGAGCTTTATGTATTTGGTGGGGTCAGGAGTCGTGATGACAGCCAAGCCAGTGAGATGGTGACATGCAAATCAGAATTTTATCATGATGAGTTTAAAAGGTAACTGGCTGCAGCTCTAAACACAGACAATAACTTGCCATCCAGTCATCTGCCTGCTCCCTCACCCCTTGCTCCTGCACTGAATTACAGGAGGTCTGTGCCATGTGTCTGTTGCTCTTTTCACTTTTTGTCACCCAGTCTGGCTGTTAGTGAAGGCCCATCCACCCTAATTTTCCCTTTAACATGCCAAGCCTAAATCCCTGGAGCCACCAAGTGGGTCTTGGGTGCCCCTGGACAGGAGAAGCACCTTGGTCACACAGGGAGTTTGTGGCTCTTCCCCTGCACTCTGCAATTTCCCCAAGTGCAGGGCACTGCTGCCCCACCCCTACTTGTGCCCACAGCTCCCTGTTGAGTGCTCATTACAGGTCTTTTCCAACCTAAATTATGCCATGGTTATATGGAGGAATGTATGTATGTACAGGGATATTCATGATCCAATCCTGTCTTCAAAGATTTGCAGCTTAGGGAATTCCTAAACTAGAGATAAGAAATTTGATGCATTTCTGTTCCAAGCATTTATAGCTGATGGCAACAACATAGGCTTTTGCCATAGGAAACACACTATGGATGTTATACATCCCACAGGCACCTCAGCACGCTGCATGGCTCATCTCCTTCTGTTTGTTTTGAATTTGCTTCCAATTACTTCATTTCTTATCTCTTGGTTCTGATAGTAGAATCCAACTTACTATATGTGGTAACCATTTAAAATGTTACCTTACATTGAATTTTTTGTTTAGTCACCTTGTTCTCCAGTCATAACTTACAAGCTTGATTCCTCCAGTGACTTTTTTCTTGCATATAACTGTAAATTGAATTATTCTTCTTTCATAAATTAAATTTTAGAAAGACTTTGTGGTCAGATGTTTCAAGGCTTGTTGACAAGTGAAGGAGATTAGCATGTCTTTATTAGAAGATCAAGACTGATTTATGACAGTGACCTGTATAAAAGGACACAAAAATAGAACAGTAGATGTAAATTCATTATATAATTTTCTTGCAAGATATGGTTGTAAAGAGACTTTAATTTCTGTATGAAGAGGTCTTCTCTGTTGTTCAAAGTGATGTCTAAGCTAGCTATAATCAAATAAAGCTGAAGAAAAACATTCTTTAAATTGGTTAAAAGAAGCAGACAGATCAGAGGGGCTGTTGCTGCTGATGCTCCCTTAGTGTTTGCTAGCCTTCTGGAGGCTGGGGAAATGATAGAAATTTATTAATGTTTTGCAAGAGGTCTTTGAAAGGGAAAGAACTGTGGAAAGAAGTGCTCCCCTCTCTCCTACTTGCTATTTTCATCTGATTTACTTGAAATATTTCCAGCCTGATTCTGTTCTTCAGAAGGTTGTAGCTCATGATTCCTCAGCAGTGGCTGCAAACCTGTTTCACTGGTAGGTGCAGGTTGAGCTTCCATGAAGTGCAGTTTGGGGAGCTGGGAGGGCCCAGCCTGGGAGCTGCAGGTGAGGCCGTGGTGCCACCTGCTGACTGCAGCACCCACACCTGGCATGGCTTTGTGTCTTTGCTTGGTGGCATCCCCCAGGCCTTGCAGGATCCCAGTGGAGCAGAGATAAAACTGCAGCTGCTCCAGTGCTGGCTGTGTGGTGTGAGGGCAGGGGAGGCAGCAGAGCTGACTGATGGAGCTGATGGAGGAGGCAGGTGGGGAGGGCACATGAGATACCAAACTTTGCCTTTCTGCTCTGCCACTGCCCAGTCTGAGCTTGGAAATGTAACTCAGCATGAACCTCCAGGCAGGACACAGGTTTGGGGTGTTTCTGTGGAGATTGGGGACCAGGGAAGGCTGCTGCCTAGGGATGGTGCTCCCAGGATTTGGAAGGCCCCAGCTCAGCCCAGGGGTGCTGTAGCCAGAAGAGGGTGCAGTGTCTCTGTGTTATCTTCCAGCACTCAGCTCCAGGGTCTGTCAGTTATCCCAGGTTTCATTACCCTCAGAGATCTGTGTAGAAGATCAATTCTAGGAGCCTCAAACCAAAATGCACAGTGACTTTTTAAAAAGTTACTTGTCAATGTTGCATACTTTGTAAAGAGCTGTGGGCTTTTCCAGCTGTTTTTATGTAAGTGGAGAACTGCATTATGTTCACTTTCTCTGTGGATGCAGAGAATCTCTGGACTGTGAGCTCAGCTGTGGGATGGTGCTGGTCCTGGGGTACGTGCAGCAGTGCACACCTGTGTCATCTGCACAAATTTCCATGTGTGCCTCAGGCCTCATTGCCAGAGCACAGGCTCGAGCATCATGCCAGGCACCCAGAGCCTGAGTGCCTGAGTTACAGGTTTTACTCCAGAGTGAATGTCTAAGGATGTACTCACATCGGTATATAAACATATTAATTCATGTAAGCTGCCATAATTCTGGCTTGAGTTGGATTAAAGGACTGGGCTTGTTTAATATTGTTTACTTTGACAGTAACTTACTCCAAAATAGCTCACAGAGAAGAGTCTTTAAAAATTGTTATTCTTAACCATGACGCAGACTTTTCAAAGACTGGGGATATGCTGAGATCTTCACACTAGCAAAAAAATAAACATTAAGACTCCTGTTAAGCTGTGCTGTATAAACAAGTAATAGAATAAATGAAGTGAAACAAAATAGTAGCATCCACATGAAATGTGAACAGGGTAATGTAGGAAATAATTCTCATACTTAAAATGCTGCTGTAACTGAGATTTTTCAATTAACAAATGTTTTGTCAGGCTGTCTTTAGAGTCATGTGCATGAGTGGATTTAAGTGAACCCAAAGAGAGAAAGCTGTATGTCAGACTGCAGGGTTTTTGCAGGATGTAGATTTTTTTCAAAGGCTATAGATTGAACTTTGTGTGCATTGTATCCTGTTTTTTTAAATATCGATCAAGCTAAAAACAGATTTAATGCATGTGAAAATGGAAGATGGAAATGTGAAGGTATCCTTCACTCAGTGATCCACAGTTGGTCTACTCCATAAAAAGCAGGAAGTCTCAAATACATCCTCAAGACCTTGATGGGTCAGACTTTCTATCAGAGTTCATAATTTATAATACACTTTTTGCACCATGTAGGTGAGTGGAGAATTGGATGATGTCTGTACACAGTCAGGTTTTTTCTTTTTTATGTGGATGGCTGGAAATATTTAATACAGCCCAAACTGACTTCAGGATTCTTTGCAAGATCTGCTGCTGTATGGCCACTGCTGACTTTCCCTGGTGGTCTGTAAGTGGGGTAGGATTTCTTCCTTCTCATGATTCAAGAAAGAATTATGAAAATTTGCAGGTACTAAGGGGGATAAAAGTGAGAGAGAATTTTCAGAAGCAGTACTTTGGTAAAATATCCTTTACAATGTTCTTTTTGCTACTGGAACATCATGGAAATAAGGAAGGGCTTTCAGCAGCATGTAACTAGTGAACTAAATAGACTTGTAACATAGTATATGTAATTAGCAACATTCTTCCAGAGTGCAGGAATTTCATTAAAAGCAAGTGCTTATGCAAATGTAATGAGAACATTGATTGATAGCACTGTCAGATGAGAGAAACATGGATTTTCATTCATTCCTAGCTTCCTTTCTCAGCTAGGGTGATCTTGAGGTGACGTGTCTGGAATATGTTGGCTCTGTATCACATCTTTATTTACTTCCCACTTGGAAATAAAGCAGTTACCCCCATCCCACTCAGTAACTACAGCAGCGTGGATGGATCATTTTGTTTGTCTCACTTTAAGACTGAAATAAATTAGGATTCCTTCCCTTCTATTTTTAAATTGGGTGGAAGCCTGTTCCAGTTTCAGAGCCATCACTTCTGCCCCTGGTTGCAGCAGGACTTGCCTTCCCCCTGCTCCTCTTGGACTCAGTTTGAGTGGAGCCATCCCAGGGAAGTACGCAAGAGTTCTGTTCCAAGGACTGTTTTCAGATTCCTGAAGATTGTGAATTTTTGGTCATGGTGTTTTTTCCATACTGTTCAAACAGCAGGCACAACCCACATGAAGCTGGAGCTTAGTCAAATTCTGATGAAACGTGACCCCTTGCCCTTCCTGTCTTTGTTCCTTCCTAGTTTTAACTGCTAAAGCTGCTGTGAGTGTTCCTGAAAAGTGCTGCCTGTTTTTTAAAGCACACACGTTGAGAAAGCCTGAGGATGAATTTTCACAAGCAGCTACAGAAACTTTAATACTGTCCTTTGGTGATGCACAGTAGGAAAATTATTGGGTCTCACCTTGTGGGTTTAGGTTTTTTCATTTAAACTCCAAAACCCAGAGTATCGAGTGCAATAAACTCCTGATTTGAGTTTTTTCCCTTCCTTAACCTGGTCCTATAGTTAGAACTTAAAAAAAAATTAATAATGCATTTTTCTGCATTTTTCTGCTACTTACTCAGTTTTCAGGATAGGTCACTTGCTGCTAAAAAGCAATGAAAATACTGTGCCCTCCTCCTACAGTAAGGGAAGGAAGTTAATGAAATATGGTGCAAGTTGTTTTGATCTGTGAGAGTTTCTGAACCAGTGTAGAGAACTTCTCCTTTTCTCTCCTTAGTTCATCTGTCCTCTTCTGTGACAGCTACAAACCATTTCCTTGCTTGGTGCAGAATGTTAATCCTTCAGTGTACAGCACAGACAAAATAATGGACAGCCAATCCTTTCATTTGCCCTTTAAAAATTGATTTCTGTCTCCAAGATAATTGATATGGAGCAGCATCTCCTTCAGTGCCAGAAGAGTGGTTTACTTCTGAATCAGGAGTTCAGATGATGCAGAATTTTCAAAGATCAGCAGTATCTGGGAGGGCATTTTCTAACTTTTTGCTTCGAATTGAACTGGTATGGCCATGAAAAATATGGGATGATTTTTAAAGGTTTCTCAGACCTTCATGTTCTCTGTAAATTATTTAATAAAAGGTGTAGGAGCAGTCCCCTAAAATGGCCTTGATTTGTACATGTCAGGGTCTGTATATGGTAACTGTGACAGCATCTGCAAAGGTGCAGCACCATTTTGTAGGAATTTATTTCAGAACCACAGAGAGGACGCTGATAACTCTTGGGACCTCTTTATAAACCAGCATCCCATGTGGATGAGGAGTACATCCCCCCCTGTTTTCCAAAGGCTTCAACAAGGAAAACTGCTTTTCCCTTGGTGGAGAGATCAGGATGTAGTGTTGAAATGAGCCTGAGCTTACAGTGAACACAGGGGAATTGTAAGATTACTGTAGGAGCTGGAAAGGGATTGAAAAGAGCCTGATATGAGATTGGAAAGGTCTGTGGCAATTCCAGATAAAGGACATTTCTTTTCCAAATTCCATTACCACTTTGATTTCCAGTCTTCTGTCCCTTGTTTGAAGTTAAGCATTGCCAAGTGCTGCATTCTTCATAGCAGGCAAGGATTTGTTGTCCCTGATAAAGTACTATTAAAGAAGTTGAAGAATTATATGGGGGAGATACTGATTAATAGTAAGGTTCTGCTATAGCAATTTGTTTTTTCCCTTACTGTGGATCATTAAAACTTATATGTGTTTATTTTAAAGACAATTTAAAGACTGTTTTTAAGACAAAGCTGCCTAAAATTTTCACTGTAGGGAAGATTGACTGGCATAGCTGTTGTTGGCTCTCTAACATGCCTGTTCTCTCCCAAAAGGTCACACTGTGTGGCTGCAAGAAGAATTTATTATAGGTAGATTACACAGATGAGTGGAGCAATTCTGAAATTGAGCAACTGCAGGATACAGCAGTACTAGCTGCTTTTTCTGGCTGGGAGAAATCAGGACTATCCCAAACTATAATGTTGCCTTTACATAACAAATTAATATGTACACTCTGCTTTTGAGTCAAAGATTACAGCTGCAAAAAGACTCAGGATTTTTTTTTTTTTTAAAATGTGCTCACTAAAAATCAAATCCTGTTTTTCACTTGTTATTTTTACAGGTGGATTTATCTAAATGACCAGAACCTATGTATCCCAACTAGCTCTTCTTTTGTGTATGGAGCTGTGCCCATCGGAGCCAGCATATACGTGATTGGAGATCTCGATACAGGTCAGAGCCAGGACTAAAAACCTCGTTATGCTCATTTCCTTCCAGTATTTTGAATACTTGGTACTGGTTAGACTGAACATTTTAAGAGGCTGGGACACTGTTCTGTCACTGTGAATCAGGGGGATTATACTGGACATACAGAAACACACAGGTTGGTTTTGGACCTTCAGTAACAAGTTCAGTGCCATGAGCATTGGCTTAATTTGGTTGATTAGTTTGAAGACCACAAGAGATCAAGACTAAGAGTGTGTTACTGCTTTTATCTAAGTGTAAGAAGACCTCTTAGTAGCTCCTGTCTTTGCAGTGGGAAATGCAGTGGGAATCAGGCAATTCTGCATTCTAGGGACATTGTCTAGTGGTTCATATGGATGTGATAGTGACTCTTAGCTCTCAATCCCAACCAAATAGATGTGTGCTATCAAACATATTCAGTTCGCAGTTGCCAGCATCTGGCCACGCTCTGTAAAAGAGATTTGGAAGACTTTTGTGGCCATGTGTACGTATATGAGTGTGTAGCAGGGCTTTCTCCAAAACATAAGCAAACAAAATTCCAAATTTGGTGGGTTTAAGTAGATCAGAAATGTCACAGTAGTTCCTTTTTGACAACAGTTTCAACCACCCATCCAGACACCGATTTGTGTTCCTGTGCCTGCTGTCGTTCACATATTTGCCATACTAGAGGTTAAACGTGGTTAAGCTGCAGTGAGTTTTAAGCATTTCATCTCTTTTTTTCGTTAATTCAGGTACAAACTATGACTATGTTAGGGAATTTAAGAGGAGCACGGGCACCTGGCAGCGCACCAAGCCGCTGTTCCCCTCGGACCTGCGCCGGACGGGCTGCGCTGCGCTGCGGATCGCCAACTGCAAACTCTTCCGGCTGCAGCTGCAGCAGGGATTGTTCCGCATCCGCGTTCCTTCTCCGTGACCCGTGTGCTGCCAGGGGACCAGACTGGAAGAGTTCTGTGCAGTCCACCATAATCTAGCTCTATTTAAAGGAAAAGCTGAGAAATTACAGCTGAAAATTACACTGTATGCTGTGCTTTGGTATGGTAACTGTTTTTGTTTTAAATGCTTACAAAGCTTGAGTCTCAGTACTTGTTTCGGGAACAAATAACTTAAGTACACATTAAAGAGAAGAGAAGGGGGAAAATAAAAGGGGAGATCAAGGAAACACCTTCAGTCATAACCATTTGGGGTTTAAACTTTGTTACTGAAGGAGGATTTTGTGTGTGAAACTGGTGGGAATCGGTTTCCTTTGGCAAAGCTTATTGAAAAGCAAAAAAAAAAAAAAAAGCTTTCAGGTGCGTTTCCCCTGCGGGGAACTGATACGAATCCATGTGCTATCTGGAACTGGATAGCTGTAATACACAGAAGCTACACGATAACCAACCTCCCTGGTGTGCTGCTGTTGGAGCATGAGGCCACAGGAGGCGTTGGTCATTGCACCTTTTATTTCTAGTCCTTTCTCAAAAGATAAGGTCTGTGCCTAAAAAAATGGTGGAGGTGTGTACATACGGTTTTTCATTCATTTGCAATGGTTTCATTCTGACAAATATTTTTAATATATATAAAATGGACTAATCTGAAATGGATACACCCCGGAAAATGGATACAGTACACCACAAAGAAGTAAACAGTTTTTTCCTATGCTGTCATTCAAGTAGCCTGATGAACTGGTCTGCAGGTGGGTGGTGTGTGCTTCTGGGTGGGCTTTGGTGGCTGTTTTCCTTGAAGTGAAAAGGGAAGACATGTTTGGAACAGTTAGTGATGATTGCTGCTTTTGGTAAGAGCAAAAGGACAAACTAAGTAGATTGTGTTCCTTTTTACTTCAGATTGCTTGCAAGCTAAGAATGGTTTTTAAGAATGAGGATTGTAGAAAGGTGTATTTTATGTCTCTTAGAACAAAGGTGAAATATGACAAGGATATATTTATTTTGCAAAAAACATGGGGTTTGGACTAAGAGTTAAGGAAAATGTGTACAGTGACTTTAAATTGGGATCAAAAGTTGGTTTACTAATGATTTCTGTGCTACAGTACAGTCTTGTTTACTGCTGTCTGATTTTGAAAGCTGGGTTTTATGGTGTGGTTATAGTGAAGAACTTAGTATCTTGCGTTTTATTTCTTACTAAGCCTTGTTCACATCAGTAGTGATATTTAATTGACTTTTGTTTGTAGTCAAGATCAGCTGGTAGAACAGTTTTACCTCAATTTTTGATTTCTTTGTTGTTGTGATGGGTGGGACATAACCTGTATTTATTTAAAAGGAATAAAATGGGAGAGACGGAAAATAGAAATAATACCTCCTGCCCTTCAGAAAAAGAGACTTTGTACAACCAGTATTATAACTACATACAAGACTTTCCACTCTGCAACTCTGTGGACCTCAGACAAGCCAAACTCTGCCCTCACTTGTGTTAGTGTAAACCTTCATCATCTTTATTGAACTCGTCTTACATACATTGAAATATGATCCCAAACTAGTTCAAAATATTGGTATTTCACTAAATAGTCCTGGAAGAGCCATTCTGAAACTTAATTCTGCTCAGTCCTTCCGTAGCACTGATGTGGGGTTGGAATGACTGGTTCCTCAGCAGAGGAGTGTGGGAGGGTGGGGAAAAGGGCAGCAGCCAATCCACTGACCTTTTTTTATTTTTATTTTTATAATGCTGAAGTGCTGCAAAACTTGAACTATATACATCGATTTTCTGACCTATATTAGTTGGCATATTAAAAAGTTTATATATTTATGCATTGCAGTAAACTTGGTGTGTGTATATATATGTCTTTAGATTTTAAATTTATATATAATGCTTTACTACAGAAATGTGAACCACTATTTCCATCCTTGGCTGGCTTGTGAAATAAATCAAGTGCTGTTAGTTTATCTGTTAAACTTCCCTTTTTTGAAAAATCTTACATGGATCAATTTTTTTTTCCTCAGACAAAGTGCCAAGATCCCATATTCAAAAGTGATGAATGTTCCTAAGTATCTGTTTCACTTTGAGCTCAGTTTTCTAAGTGGCTTGGAAAACTTCCGAAAATGTTATTCAGAATATTGCCAGCTGCTATCTCCCGAGTCCCTGTAGCTTCCCAGTACACTTGAGGGCATTCAGCATCCAGAAAACGTAAGTGATAAATGCACATGATAAATCCAAGTAAATACTCTAGCAGTGTTTTGCAGTTCAAGTTACTGAACCAAATGTTTACACTTAGAGTAGGATTAACACTAGGTGTTCTTAATGTGTTTTTTTTTAAAAGAAAACATAAATAAAACAAATCTGCTGGTGATTGGAGTGTGTTGCGAATGCACTCAGTGAGATTTGACCAAGAAATTTAAGCCTCTGTACCTGAACCAGTCACAAACTGAATTTCTGAGCACATTGTATTTGTGTTATTTTCCATGTGGCTGGAGACCAAGTGTCCAGGGATGCTCTCCAGGGGTTTTGGGCACGTGCTCAAGATTTAGGCACTCCTGAGATCTCAAAACTGGCTTCCTTGGCCTTGCCTAGGGATGGGACCATTCCCCATCTGCACTGTCTGTGGGACTGATCCAGGAGCTGTTCTAGCCTCTGTTGTGTGCAGAAGGGAAGGGATGTGTCTTCCTGTGTGTCTGTCTGTCTGTCCAGCTCTGATCTGTGAGTGCATCCCTTGGATTGTGCAATAACCAGGTTCCATTTCCCTCTGAATTTGGAGCGAGGCTCAGAAGCCGAGGCTCCCCTTTCTGCAGGGATTGTACCACTGGTGGTGTAGGAGTGAAGAGGCAGAGCTCACCTCTGACTTCTCTTTCTCTTTTCCAAGGGGTGGTTGACTTCAGAAAGGGAGGGAGGCTGTGATGGTACCAGAGGTGCTGAGAGCAGGGAGGTCACCAGTTTGCTGAGTGTTGGATGTGCAAACAGCTGGAGATTGAACTGGCTTCACTGGTAAATGCCACCACTCAGCTGTCCCTGCTCTCCTGGCACTGTGTACCCCTGCACATCATGGCTGAGCCCCATGGGAAACAACTCAGGAGTTTTTCTGAGTTGCAGTCTGGGGGTTTTAGGTGGTTTGGCAGTTTAGGAACTTGTTTAAGTTGTCCTTGCTTAGCACAGTGGCCTTAATTCCTCCCAGCTCATGAGTTGGCACTGACATTCAGCCAGGTCCTCCACAGGTGACTGTTTGAATGTGTGTCCTGGCCAGCTGTCCATGCAGGATGAGGACTGGCTGAGCCAAATTGAGCTTGAGGCACTTGGGCTGGGCCTCTGCATCTGTTTTCCTTTCCCTGGTGAGGAATTGGACCAACCCCAGCTACTGAAATCAGAAAATCACCAAATACAGGGTAGGAATTGTGGAAGATGGGACGAGTGGTGGTTTTTTTCTCCCCTCACTCCATCTCTCCCCACAATGCCCCCAAGAAAAGTTTCTTCCTTTTTTTCATGTGCCACAGATAATTTTGGAAAAACTTTGGAATTGTCAATTTTAGGGGAAAAGTGGGGAAAAAATATATGCTACTGTAAGCACACAGCAGTGGCCTCTGTGCTTGTTTTACCCTTGTAGCCATGTTGCTGCTCTGCACAGCAGAGAGAGATTACAGAAGCAGAGGTGTAAAGTGCTGTTGCTCTCATAAAATAAATCCCTTGAGTTTCTGAGGGAGGCACATGCCTGGCCTGGCTCTGTTCCTTACCTGGCCTTGACAGATGCTCATATTCCTAAAGAGTCAGGGTTGGATTTCAGATCCTCTCCCTTGCTGGTTTTATAACTTGAAGAAGAGGCATCCTGAAGAGTCTTCTGTTTTGTTGTACCATAGCAAGGTCTAGTTGTCCTTAAATATTTTGTCAGCTAATCCTTACATTTTAGTTATTGTGAAAGTGCTGTGTCAGCCCAGCTGCTTCTGATCTAGTGAATTTCTGTAGCTTTGAGGGTTTAAATTGAAGGCAAATTAATACAAAATTACACAAAAGGACAGAGGTGAATCTGAAACCAGAAGCTGAAAATCAGCAAACTGATAGCTGTGGGCAGGCTGTGTCCCTGGTGTTTGCACAGCACGTGCCTGGCACACAGCCTGCCTTCAGGAGCAGAGATCTTGATGAAAATAAGGTTTTTATCAGAGCTACTGAACCGCCTGGCTTATGAACTCCCCCTCCAGAGCACACCAGGCAGCTTGGTTGCTTTGCAATATTTCTGGTGCCTGCATGACTCAGTAAATGCACAAGTACAGGACTGAGGGGTCTGGGGAGGTTTTCCCCTGTTTTAACTGCAGTTTCTCTGTTTGTTCCATAAATGCTGTGCAGGGGCTCTGCTACCATGCATGTGCCATGCAGAGTGGAGGATGCAATAACAAATCCAAGTCGTTACAAGTGCCAAACTTTTGGGTTCTTCTGTGTATAACAATAATTCAACTGTTCTACTAAAATACAGATGTGCTTAAAATTCACTGTGTTCCAAAAAAGAGCAGTGGTTCTTTTTTTCAAATGAATGCTATTGAAAGCAATGTAAATCTGATTTTTTTTTTAATACTGTTCTGCAGGTTTGTGTTACTCTTCACAGCTGCCTTGAGTATCACTCCATGTGATGCATATGGACACTTTGCTCTTTACTAGAGCACTGGTGCCATGCAAGTACATAATAAAAGGCAGCTGACAACAGGCTTTAGTATTTAAAATTATAACTGTTTAGATTAAGTGCAATTTGTTTGCATTTATCGACCTGCAGAAGGAAACTGTGCCTCGGGAAATGTGGCTGTGCCCAGGGACGCAGGCAGACTGAGCATTGTAACTAAGGTGTGGTTTGGTGCCACTCACAGCAATGCTTTCCAAGGAATTATATTTAATTTAGTGTTAAATGGATCCTTTCTGCCTCTAATTTAGCACTGAGGATTTGGGGGTTGTGTGCTCTTTAGCTCTTTGGAGCACTTAAATGGCTACTTCAGGTGGGTGGGAGGGGTGTTAATTGCATCCGTGTTTGTAGAAGCTGCTATTTCCATCTTCCCAAAGGAGTATTTCCTTTTCCCGTTCAGGGCTGAGTACAGGCCTGTGTTTCAGTCGTCACTGCTGCAGCCTTTTGACATTTGCCATTTTCTGATGCTCTTCCTTGTTTTTTCTTGGAGCTGTGTTTCCAGGGCACATGGTCTGTGAGAGAAGAGCACAGGGCTTGGGAAGGTGAGCCAGTAAAAGCTGAAGGCAGTGGGGTTTGGGGGAAACTGCTCATTTTCTGTGGGGGTCACCTCTGTGTGCTCTGAAGTGTATTAATAAGTTTGGCACCTACTCTCCTTCATCCCTGTGGGTTTTGGTGTGGGTTTTTTCTTTTTCTTTTTTCTTTTTCCCCTGGGAAATTCCTTGCTGTAGGAAGGATTGTAGCCAGGATTTAAGGTGACACCTCTGACCAGCCATGCCCAGTGTGACACTGCTGCTGTGCTCCCGCAATCAATTCTCTCCAAATTTTGATGAATAAATTACCTAAAAAACATAGACTAAAGCCATTCAGCTAGATTAACACCTGGTCAAAAGGATCAAGGGTAACAAAAGAACTAAACTGTGAGCCACTACCAATAGACGAGTATATTGAAAAATTATCAGTGATACAAAATATGAATAATATTTTTTAAAATTACTTATTCTTGGCAGCTGCTTTTTAGTTATAAAACTATTTGCAATATATAAAGGACTTGTATAGAGTAATATTTGGAGGTGATTTGAAATAATCTATTGAAATGTCTTGAAAAGTGAGCTGGAAGATTGGAGCTTTTCAATGGAAAAAGGCTAAATCTTGATGGCCAGCAGTTTTGCAGAGAACACCTGCCAGAGCACTTCAGTCCATGAAGCTGCTCAATGCCACTGCCTACCTGTGCCCTTGAATTTGCATAATGAAATGAGGCTGTTCTGAGCCCTGGTAAAAGCTGACAGGTCTGATTACAATAATAGAAAGAAGAATCCCCTGTGTGTAATTAGTGTTATTTTATTGATAAAACATGAATTTATTTTTTTTTTTAATACTGGCATCTTTTTAATTACCACCTTAGGCACTTACTTAATTTCTTTAAAGTTTGACTTTCCTCCATTTCTTTTGAGTTAATGCTGAGACAACCTCAGTTTTTGTCGAGGGCAAGTTTCTTTCATCTGTAGTTCTAAACCTGTCAGAGCCTGACCGACCTCCTGCCACCGGCTGTGCACTTGTTTCACAAGTGTCATTGCTGTGCATTCTGTTATTGGGCTGCCAATTTCAGAACAGAAAAAAAAACAAAAACCCCTGTGGAACAAATTTGTACCTGATGAAAACAAAAGCCATTTTGGAAAGTTTAAATTTCCATCTGCAATAGGTAGCGTGCTACAAAAACCTGATCCTTGGCTGGGCTAGAGGATCTGTTCTGAACAACCTCACATGCAAAAGCTTTGGGTTTAATTAATCTGCTTTATGAATTTACACATGATATCAGGAAAGCGTTATCATCCCTGTCACTCCTTTTTCTGGTTTTATGCCTTAAAAAGCAAAGCCTGCTTATTTATTAGAGTGAATGAAGCAGTGCACAGGGGTATCTGCTGAGGTGATCAAGTTAAACACAGCTGACATTCTGTAAAGCTCTTGCTATAGTTTCTTTCTGAGGGGAAGCCAGGGATTGCCCTCTTAAGAAATACTTTCAAACCCTTTCAGAGCTGGTCTTAAACTAGTCCAAAGGACTCCTGACTCCTTTGGGTTGCTTAGAGAACATGAAGTCTGTTCTACCTTTTGTTTGCTTGGGGAAACACCTGCTAAGTCAATTTTAACCTTTTTTTTTTTTTTAATCTTGACTTCCAAAACCTGAGTGGTTTGCCTCTTGCAATTGAAACATGTTTGTATTTAAGGGTCTGAGTACTGCGTTTTGCAATGCATGGTCCTGCCTTGGTTACATGATGTAAACAGCAAGCTGTGTTCTGGGGGGCTCCTGGAAGCTCCTTTACAGGGCTGAAGGGGAGAAGGTTCAGTACAAGATTCTCTTACACTGCACAAGCCTTGCTGTGAGTGTCAGATGGGGCAGGAGGCTGGGTTTGGGACAGAACTCATGGAATTGCCACCACTGGCTGCCCTCACTGTTTGGACCCCCAAAGCCCATCAGGGGCAGGTCCTGGGTGTTCCATGCACAATGTTTCCTCTGGCCTCAGGCGTTTTCTCTTTTGCTGTTATTACAGGATTTTGCTTTCACTCTCCCTCTGAACACAGAGCCTGTGCCCATGGGCCTGGGAGCACAGCTCCTGTGGGTCAGAAGGTGGCCACACCAACTTCTCCCTCTGGCTTTTGCACATCTCTGCACATCAGTGTGTGTGGGGACAGTGCTTAGTACGCAATGAAATGACTTTTCATGGAGCTGGTAAAACTGATGCCAGCAGGTCAGAGATCACCTGAACACCTGTAAGCAAAGCTGCAGGTAGAGCAGGTGTAGCCCAGTCCCTCGTGTGTGTCACTGTGGCTGGAAGCCTTGTCCTGGGGGGAAAAGCTCCTATTCCCAGCTACCTCATTTTTAGTTTCTTTGCACTTTGTTAAATATTTTTTATTTTGTTTTGTTTTAAATCACATTTTGTCCTTCAATTAAAAAAAATCTAAAAGCAGACAAGAAGCAGGACAGAATGGTACTATTGCCCAAGGACAGTTTAATTTCATTTTAAATTAATGTTTCTGTACAAAAAGACCAAGGTTGACCTGCAGCTGCTGTAAAAAATAAATAAAAATCTCTATTACTTGATAGTAACTATTTTACTTGGAAATGAGAGTAGCAATTGAAAGGCTGTCTTGATGATATTTAAATAGGAAGAGATCTGTTTAAAAAATAGAAGTCTCTGCTCTTTTAAGGACAGATCAGATAGTTTTCTCTCTGCCTGTACTCTGCTCTCACTGTTTTGCCTGTGAACTTGATACATTATCTCAATAGAGAGAATCACTGATTTTTCTGTAATGTCTAATTAGATATTTTTCTGTGGAGTTCCCCATTTAATCACCTGCAGAGGCAAAGCTGTTCAAATCAATACCTACATTCCATACCTGAACTTATGTCATTGACCATTTCTTTGTGATCTTCAGGTATGTGGGGTTTTGCTTAGATTGAAAAAGTTTTTTAAGAAGTGTCTTTTCTTCTGCTTCTAAAGGTGCTATTTTGACATAGTTTTGAATTCCTTACACTGTGCTTGACTTCTAAAGTACCAATATAAGCTGGTAATCAGCTTGTGTTTGTTCTGTGGAGTTTTTCTTTGAGTATTCAATCTCTATTTTGAAAAGCATCCCTTTTCATAAAGATGGCTTCCAAACTGTCAAAGGCCTTAAGAATACAAAAGATAATGGAAAATGCTACCTTCTTCCTTTCTTTGTAAAGGCAAAACCAAGAAATGCTTCATAGAAAACATCTTCCTCTAAAATTTTGAGGAGCAGCTCATACTAACTTTGAATTCAATGTAGCAAACATTTTAGTGGCCATGCACAAATAGTAGGGGTGAAACAAGGAGCTATTCATAACTCTGCAGACTGTACCAATTAGCTGCTAATTCCAGAGCCTTCCATCAACATCATGCTGGCAATTCCATAAATATTCATCTTCCCAGGCTTGGTCCCAGGACGTGGCTGTGTGTCTGGGACACGCTGACCCATGTGGCTGGCAGATCACTGGGATGTATGGCCCAGTGTGGGGTTTGTCTCTGACCCCTCCTGCTCAGCCTCCAGGGTTTGGGTGCCACAGGTGCTCAGGAGGAAGGAGGAGGGAGCTCCAAGTGCTGCCGTTGCAGTGACATTAGCTTTGGCACTCCAGGGACAGGCTCTTGTAGACACAAGCCATGGAGGAGAGAGCTGAATTTTAGTCCTGCATAGGAACTTTGTTGTCCTTTTTATGCTGTCTATTTTTGTCTGATCCGTATTATCAGGTTGGTTTAGGCCTTTGGTAACTGTTACAGGAAGGTTTTTCTTTCTCTGAAGCACATAAAGTCCTACTCCTGCCCTGTCTGAAGCAGCAGGAAGGATCAAGGGTTGATGTTTGAATTTGTCCCATCTCCACACAGCAGGTTATTTATTGCCTTCTTGTGGGCTCTGCAGTCCCAGTGCTGTAGCATTTCTCAGCTGTGTTACTCTAAGAGCCCTTTAGCTTTTGAAAAGAGTCCAGAGACTGCCTTGTCCTTCTCCTTCACACATTGGGTGCTGCCCTCTGGACCATCCGAGCTCATCCAGGCTGTCACTGCAGAGGAGCCACCGGTTGGTGGCCTCACAGGAGTATCTGTGTTACCTGCACAGCTGAAAAACAGCTGATAAGTGAGGGGCCGTGGAGAAGCTCTACTGGGCTAGCAAATTCCTGATCCTCAGTCTAGGGAAGGCTGAGGAGCAGCATCATTCCTTGCCTTGCAGCTGCTCTCTGCTGCACAGGTAAGGATGACTCCACACTGTCCCTTACATAAGGGTCAGTATAAAGATTTATGGGCTGTTCAAGGAGATCCACTATTTTGCATTTGTTGTATTTAAATCTGAAACTTCTGGAGCTATGGAACTGTGGGTTCTGGAACTATGTCTGCAGTGTGGAACCACAGTTACTTGTCTAAAGAGCTGCGGAGGTTCTGGCCACCTGTTTTTCTACTGCACTTTTTTCTTTTTTTGATAAATCAGAGATGTGAAACTGCATCCCAGTTTGTATGCCCACTGCTTCGTAACCCAGAGTGGGACCCTGATAAGCTGGAATTGTTTTATTTTACCTTCAGAAGGAAAAACTAAAATTTCATCACATTAGATGCTGTATCTTCAGAGTTTTCCCTCAGTAAACCATATTTATTGAGTCCCATGGATCTTATGGGATTGGGTTAAAGAATATGACTGTATTATAAGAATGATAACTAGTGTACTTAGCCTGACTTTGTACAGTACAAATAGTCTCTTATATCTTAAGAGAATGAAACAACTATTGAATAATCCAATTGTGATATCTGTATTCCATGAACCAAGTAATAGGAGGGTGTTGGAATGTGATGTCACATTCCTGCCCCTCTCCTAAAGGTTCAATGTTCTGTCAAATCTAAGATCTTGATAATTACCAGGATATTGTCAGAATATATTGCTACCTTTTCTACAAAAGGCACATTGGTGTGGTGAGGTAAAAACACTCACCTGTTCTTTACCATCTGTGGCATGCAGCTGGACAGCAAGAGTTATCCCCATCATCCAGCTGTCATGTTGACTCCTGTATAACAGATGTGGTTACTGTTACAGGCTTTTTATGTATGTACATGTTCTGTGGGTCCTTCTGTGCTTTGTGTGGGAATGGAGTTTTAGCTTTTATGTGTCCACCCCAAAATCGTTAGAAATGAATTGATTAATCACTTGGGGGCAGGGTTTGGAATGCTCTGATTGGAGTATGTTCTGTTTAAAACAGGGAAAAATAAGACATAAATGCTCTTTAACCTCAATCAAACTATGCAATACAGCACACCAGAGAGCTGAATTCCTTGTGATACAGAAGTGCAGCTCCTGTGTCCTTCCAAACCCAGTCCTTGGTCCAAGGTTAGGAGAGCTTGTACTCAATGGCTGCCCAAGAATCTCGTAGCCAGATCAACTCCAGTTCACTGCTTTTGCTCCTGCCCCCTTGCCTGGCCCAGCAGTTTAGCTGAGTCAGGTTATTGGGTGTTTTGGCTTGGAATGATGTGATCTCCATGTGTGTCCCTCCTGTTGTCCCATGGTGTTGTCAGCTGGAGCTTGTCCTGTAACCCCACCGGCCACTTCACCAGTTTGCACCTCCCTGCCCTCGAGCATGTCAGGTGTTTGGGGCTTGCTGTGCCCCCTGGGTTGTTGTCTTGCTTTCCCTGTGTCAGTCAGTTGTGGATCTGGTGCTTACAGTAAAGAATCCCTGTGATGTCTCCAATCAGTCCAAGTATGTTTTCATTTCTGCTGCTTCTGTGTGAGTTGGATTTTTTTGCTTCTGTGGCAATTCAGTGATAAATGCCCTTGTGGTCAGGACTGCTGGTAAAGGTTCTCTGTTCTCCCACTGCTTCATTTTTCAAATGAAATTTGTTCCTTGAGTTCCTCTTCTTCCCCCCATTAAAAACGGGTACAGTTTTTCCTGGTTCTGCCTCCTGTGAGGAGCTCTCCTCTCCCACGTGATCCTGAATTCTTCATTCACTGAACCCACCCTGGACCTCGTACAGTTTCTGCCTCCTAACTCCCTTTACTATTTTGTCTCTCTTTAATTCAGATTGACCTCGATTCCTTTCTCTGATTCCAGACAGGGATTTTGGTGCATAGCCTGGGAGACAAGCAGGAAAGCTCTTTCTGTGTGCATCCATTCCCTCCCCAGCACACGCAGTGTAAGGGGCTCAGCCTGTTCCATTCCTTCCCCCAGGTTTTCCTAGTGCTAAGCAGACCACAGGCTGAAGCCATTTCTTATTTCTTTTGGTAACTGAAAATATTAGGAGATTTTCTTCTTCAGAAATAGCCACTGCAGGTAAGCAGCTGGCATGAGAGAGGGTTGTTATGCTTCCATATTCAGTATTTTTAATTGAGGAGCAAATAATTTATTTTGGGGGAAAATGTAAATTTTTTTGTATTTGTACGTCAAAGTGGCCTTTATAGGAAAAGCACATAAAATATTTAGATTAAAATTGCTTAGTTGTGTAATTTCAGTGGGGATTTTTGTATTGACAGGGTTTCTATGCATTTTTCAAAATATACTTGCTGTTTTGTGTTAGAATTATTGGAAATCTTTTAAAAAACATGTATTACTACATTTTCCATGGTTGATCCCTTTACTATCATTCCTTTTGAATACTAAAAAGATTTTAATTAACCCTGTAAATTATTTTTCCCCACAAATATTTGCATTAAGTCAGTATAATGAGTTATAGCATGGGTATGTAGCTTTAAGGGAATGTGCCTAGTAGTGCAGCTTAATTCTGGAGAGATGTGTTTGCAGAAGGGCGGTACAGCAGCATTTCACTTGCACTTAAAACACTAAATTAGAAAATTAAGTTTTTGCTGTACCTCTGTAGGGTTTTATTAAACCATGTCCATCCTGTATTGTTTACACTTGAGCATTATTTAACTATGTATTATTTGTGCAGTTTGCAGTTCTCTGTTCTGTCAGGATTATGTGAACTTTAACAGGTAGGAAAAGTTTTGGAGTGTGTGGTGTCCTCATGGGTTTGAGGTGAGTTTGGGGAGGGAGGAGAGAGGAAAGTTAGATCCATTCGTGTATTTTTCCATTTAATTATGTACACATTTTCACATTAGATGAGACTGAATAACTGAAGTTACAATTGAACTGTGAGTAAAATCAGTGGTTTGGGGGTGGGGGAAATGAAGGGCTTGCAGAACTTCAGGCAAAAACCCTTTAGTTGCACTGTGGTACAACTGCCCTGACTGCCTGTGCAAAGCATAGCCCGAGGGGACACATCAGACCCATCAATTTTTCTGGTTTTACTTTCTCTTCTTGATGTGTTGCTGCAAGGTTTGCTAAGTAGGACCTTCCCAGGAATGTCTATCAACTGAGACTTGAGTATTTTCATTTTATGTTTGTAGTTTTAATTTTTGTTCTTGTTTCTGTTTCGTAGGAGATCCCACATGTTCACAGGTTAGTGTAAGTGCAGGCTTTCAGGTGTAGCACCAAGTGAGCGTTTGATGCAACCATGCATTCTGTAATTAAAATGTGCAATTCTAATGGCACTTTGACCCATTGCTGAAACACTGGGTTTTGCAATTGAACAAACTCAAAAATTGAAAACACTCTGTGTCTTCATTAGATGTCTTGAAGGTGAAGCAAAAGGCAGTTACTCCAGTTGTACCCATGATAATTTGATTTGATTTTTTTTAATAGTTGTATGGTCTGTTTTTACAAAAACACTCATTTCTTGGTTCACTTTAGTTGCCATAAATTGCCCAGTGCAGAGTCTGGTCCACCTCCATTCGTTTATTTTCATGGAGTAGTTGCACAAAAACTGGTAACAGCAAAGTAGGAAAGCTCTTTGGTTACTCACCAGTAGCTTCCCTTGCAGAATTACTTTGTGGCTCACACATGGTATGGAAAGGGACACGGGAATTTTCCTGGATTCAGTAGCACTCGCTTTGTTTACGTGTTCAGTAGAACATTGGGTGACTAAAGGGAGGCTCCCTTTTTAAAGTATTTGACTTGTGCTTTGAGGACTTAGTTGCCACTGTGCAAATTGTGCTGTAATATTGTACCAAGGATCAGTGAAAGTGTTTTATCTTTTTTAATGTCGTTTGTATTTGACCGGGTTTTATAAATGTAAGAAAACAGAGTGTTGTATTTTGATCTGAAATTTGCGTATGGTAAAAGTAACTTTGCTTTATGTATTGGAGGTTTGTTCAGAACTTGAATCATTTTATAGAAGGGTACAGACCAAAATTAATTGTCTTAAAGGTGTTTAATAAATTAACCAAATAAAACATTGATTGTTTGAAAACTTGTTAACTGCACCTTCTGCTTTTTTTTGTTAATTTTAAAAGGAAGAACGTAGTTTTCTCTCAAGGTCTTACAAAATGTGAAAAAAAAAAAAGAAGTAGATTTTATAAATATCATCTCCCATGAGTTATCTGTTTTATTATTAAACATTCCAACATGCCAGAAGTTTAATCAAAGGGGAAAACCCAAAGGAAATAAATGGAGGAGGAAAGGCAATGAGGAAATGAGGGGAGGCGGGATCAGCCCCTCCCTGGCTCTGCCCAGGCAGTAAATGCTTCTTGTTGCTGGGCCGTGGATGTTGTCAATGGCCACCCCAGGAAAATGGGAGTGGGAAGGAGCTTCTGCTCACCTGGAAAAGCTCTCATGGTTGTTTCAAGGTGGCCTTTCTCCCCAGCAGTCACCTTCACTCGTCCCCTTCACAAATACTGCTCTTCCATGTGACCTTTCAAAGAGGAGGAGAAAAATATGTGAAGCATAACTGCTCCCAAGGGCAGGTACAAACAGCTCCTTCCAGGGCTGCTGATATTCCGACCCTTGGCTGTGTCACAGCGTGCAGACGCAACCCCTGCAAGTTCAGAGACCTGCACATTTTTAAGATGCCAAGCAGCTGCAGCTCCAGTTGAGCAATATTCCACCTCTGTGCTGTGCTGCTGCCTGCACTGGGGCACTGGCCCTTGCCTCTGCTGGGGCTGCCTCCCCTGGGCTTCATCTTCAGGAAAATACCCAGAGCTCTTTCTACCTTTTCCTAAACAAAAGGACTGAGGCAAGGCCAAATGTGAGGTAGGAGTCAAGGAAAAGCTGAGGTTTGGGGCAGCTGGGGCAAGGGGAGTGAAGGGGAAAGGCAGTAGCACGGCTTCAAAGCAGAATGCAGAAACCAGGTGCTGTAAATACATGTTCTAAAAGAGATGGTGGGAACTAGGACAGAAAAATTAATATTTGTTCCATAAATCCCTTTCCTTACTTAGTTCCACAGCCATACCAAGGTCCAGGACTGCCAGCCAGGTTGTTGCAGGGAGCCTGAGGCCTCCAGTGTAAACACAGACTGATGATAGGGAATCTCATGTTGATTTACCCTTGTTGCTGGTGTTCCTATGGTTATGGCTGTGTAGATGGGCTCTGCCATATCTCCCCTCTCTTACTGAGTCTTGGAAACAAAGACAGGAGGGTGAACTTGGATTTATCTTTATTCCACAGCCTGGAATTGTAACAGAAAAGGAAGAGGGCTGCAGCCTGGTTTCCTTTACCTCGTATGCACAGTGATACAACTTTTGAAGTTCCCGTTTCTGCCTCTTTTTAACCCCTCAAATTTTTTTCCTTAAGTCTCACAGGAGAAATCCAGAACTGGTTCTTCAGACAGGATTTTCAGCTGAAGCTCTTGATGCCTGGGAGCAAGGCCTCTCAGTGCCTCTTTAACTGCCAGATACTTGCCAAGAAGGCAAAGCATTACATTTACGCAACCGGACTTGTGACTCTGGTGATTTCTGTTTCACAGGGAGTCACAGCTGTTCACCAGCTTCTACCTCACCCTGAGAGAGGAGTGTCCCATCAGCTTTCTCCTGGCAGGAATATGCTAGGAGAGGCATGCAGCTGGCAAAGGATCCCTGCAGGTTGGAGCTGCTGTAGAGGCATCTGGGTGTGTGAGCAGCCCCAGCTTTGCTGAGCCAGGCTCTTCCCAGGGCTGGTCCTCCTTGGTGAGAGGTGGCATCTGTGTCCTTTGCATAGCCCAAGTTTTGGAGCCACCTTGTAACAGGCTGAGTTTTCCAGGTGAAAAACAGGCTTCTGGCCTTCAGAATCTCAAATCAAGCAGCCAGACCCTGCTGTTCACTAAGCTCCATTTTACTGAGTTGTCCCTTTACACAATGATCACTGGAAACAGTAAAATTAACAGAATTAATTGCTGTGCAGAATTCAATACAACCTGTAACTTTTTGTCTGGAAGCAGCAGTAAAGTCAAAAAATGAATGTGGAGTCCATGGGGTCTTGGTACAAGTCATTTGAGCTGAATGTTTTTGCCACTCCACAGATTTCTCTGCTCCAGGTGAAGCCAATGGCAGCAGGATGAGAGCTGTTACTTTTGCTCTTTCCTGAGCGCGTTTGGGCGCGCACATGCCAAGCTCTGTCACGTGTGGCCTCTAAGGAATCATGAACCCCAACACCGTGGGCTGGGCTGAATGAGTTGGCTAATGGAGAATTTACGGTAAGAGCAAAATGTATTTTTAACCACCAGGATATGCTTATCATCAGGAAAGGGCAAGCAGCACTCCTATCTCTCCAGGGAAGGGGAAGTGTTGAGCGTGACTTTATTTTTTTCCAACTCCTTTTCAAACTCCAAAAGGTTTTTTTTTTTTCTTGCTGAGACATGTCGTTGGATTAAATCAGGGAGTTACACAGACATCAATCCTGGGTCACAGGTGAAAAATACTAAATGCCAGGCATGCAGTGTTTTTCCATTGCATGTGATGTATATTCAGGAAAGACCTTTGGAAAGAATGCTTTGAAATTAGTCCGTTTTGCGTTTCAAAATACACCAAGAGCCCGTCCAGAAGCTTTTAATTTTTCAGTGTTGAAGAGGAAAGCAGATTCCCCTCCTCGTACCCCACCCTGTGCCTCTGGAGCAAGCAGCACATCAGGTGGATTCTGGGCTGCTTTTTGGCTTGGGGCGCTTTGCTCAGAAGGGGGCTGGACGTGTCCCCCTGTTTGTCACCGTGCCTATCTGGACTCTGCCACCCAGCAGAGCACCCAGGGACGCCTGTCCCCTTGTTTGTCACCGTGCCTATCTGGACTCTGCCACCCAGCAGAGCACCCAGGGACGCTCCCGTCCAGGGTTCACCTTACCAGCAGAAGCAGCAGGGCCCTGACATTTCCTATGCCCCATTTTCCACAGCCGGCGCTGCTCTCCCTTTCCATAATCCCGGCTCCAGGAAAGCCTTGGAACGAGACACCCCGACTTGTTTGCAGGACACAGCAACGCTGCCTTTCGGGCCACCTAGGCAGGAGGGGCTTGGCTGATCCCGTAAATACCTGCTTGCCTCTTTTAGTCAGCGGTTGGAGTCACAAAGGAAAGAGACGCTTTGAAATGCTAAAAGCTGCCTGACCAAAGAGACGGGCTGAGGGTGTTCCCACCCTGCCTCGTTCCATTCCCATGCGCTGCCCACCCCCTCCAAACCAGTCTCGCCTGTCCTCCCGCTGTGGTCTCATCAGCTGCCGGGCCTCCCTCTCCCCCTTCTCCCGGCTCCCCCTGCCCCTCCTCGGGGAAGGTGTTAGGAGTCCGTAGAGATCCGATTTAAATCCCAGGCACAGAAACAATGGCGCAGAGCGAGGCGGCCGGGCAGTGGCTCAGCAAGGCCTATCGGGCCCTCCTTCCACCTGGCCTCGGCTTCTCCCTCAGCGCTGGTGACCCGGCAGCACGGGGAGGCGAGGCTGGGCTGTGCTGCTGCTCCCCGCGGAGGGGCTGCCTGGGTTTGTCCCGCACTTGTGCCCTTTTTACACCCTGCCGTGGCTGTGTGGAAGGGTGAATCACGGCAGCCCGGGCAGAGGAGCCGCTCCCCGGGGACTGCGCCCTCAGAGCTTGGGAAGGGCCGATCTGTCGCCATCAGCTGCCCCTGGAGCTGAGGGCAGCGCTCTCCTCTGCCAAGGGCTTGGACTTCAGTGAGGTGATTCTTTGCCTCTTGCTATCTGTGCTTCAGCAGGTTTCGCTGATTTGCAATTAAATCCCCTTTCATGTTGGTTTTAATTGCCTTCTCAGTTCCCCATACTACAGAGTAATGCTGAAGAATCCATTTTTAGCGTTTCAATTAATCTCCTCCTCGTTTCAGCTGTGTCTGTGCTTTTCTCCTTGCTGTAGTAGTGTGAAATATTCAGGGAGAAATGTGAAATTCCCTCATCTGAAAGTCGTGTACCACATCTTACAGCTTGGCATGAGGCACGGGAATGTTCCTGGCTCTACCTGCTTTGAAGAGCAAACAAAGGAAAGCTGCAAGCACCACAGTGTCTGGTCCTGGCAGATGCTTTGGAGACCAGCCCATTTTCATGGAAATTAGGTTGTTGCTATTAGTTTATTTTTTTTCTCCCCGGACCTGAGTGGTTCCTCGATTCCTCGATCACTTTTCCATTTTCATGAAGCAGTTTGTGAATCACATACATGTAAAACGAAGGAGTTAGCAAATGCTGCTTGCCTTTGATGTATGGTAATCCTGCCTTCTCCGTTCTTAACTGCTCCCTGGAATTTTCCATCTTAATATGAATATTTCAATGAAAGATAACAAAGAAACCCCCTCACTACCTTGTACTTATTTAAAGACAACAGGAAGGTTGTGAAAGCTAAAATGAAAACAAACCTGGTTTGCAGTTGAATGGTTGTGTAACCCCCATGTTAAGAAATGAGAGAGCAAAGGGCTGAGGAAGAACATTCAGAGACAAACCCTTCAGGTGTGAGCAGTGCTGAAGGTTAACCAGTCCCTGCTCAGGGAGGTATGCTGCACTCACTCTTGGTACAGGTGTAACACTGTGCCATTGTAGCAATCTCCTGTGCTGGAAAAGTGGCTTTAAACACAGACATGCTCCATTTGGAGATGTAGCATCAGGATCAAGTGCACCAAAACTCGGTTCAGTGTTTACATATTTTCCCAACTTTTTTTCCTTTATGCTGAATGGCATTTTGTATCCTTGAGATATTAGTCTGGTGGTTGGCATAACCCAAAATCTAATAATTTACCTGCTATCGACTGCTCCAGCTTTCTGGGCTCCTTTTTTCTTTTCCTTAATTCAGTCTGTTCCTTGGAGCTGATGTAATTAAAATGGTACCACCCTCAGACCATGGTCTGAGATGACAGATGCTCCTTGGATCTGCTTTACTTTGTACAAACACATTTTTATAAAGGTCCTAAAGATTAACTTTTTCTTGCCTAAATAGATGTTGGGAATAACTTATGGGTAGCATAGCTGTTGCCTACTTTATCCTTGAGTTTGAAAAGAAAGGTATGATATTATTCCAAATTTTTTCATG